GGTACCTTGAAGCAAAAGCTGAGGATTAATATTGCGGGCACGACATGCTGTGGTTGGAGTGCAGTAGGGAAGAGGCTTCAGTTGGCCGATCCCAGCGAGAGGCCCCACGCCATCTGGGCCACCGAGCGACTTCGCCGGGCCGAGCTGAACCTCGAAGACCTCTTCTTCAGCGAATGCACCCCGCGATATCCCGTGCAGGTGGGCCGGAGTGTACAACAACATGCAACACATCATGTCCTTCTTATGCTGTCAAATACTGGTTCTTTGTATCCTGACACGGCCAAGCCTTTCCAGTCTGAGTTTCAAAATCTTTAGAGCATGGCAGCATTCAGTTCGTGGTCGCGTGTTCGGGGCGGGATTCCAGACAGAGTTTTTTGACTTGTCGTAACTTCTCCTCAGGAGCCTGAGGCAGTCGTGAGGCCCGTGACTTGTGACACCGTTGCCCTCCTCAACCGCCGGCCCCACCCCTTGACCAAAAGCCTAAAGCCGGAAGCCAGTAGGTGGTGAAGCGTGAACGTAAATTTTGTCGAGAAGCACGGCCAACCTTGAGCCTTGAGCCAAGCCCCAGCCATTGCTTTGGAAGGACAAGCTCGGCTTCTTGGAAGAGACCCATGAGCTTCGAAGCATCACTGTCAGCCCGCTGATGCTTGGCTGGCCGGTGAGAAGGAGTCGCCTTTTCACGTGCGGGCTGAACAAGCAGAGCCTGGCATGGGTGGGCCCAGAGCCGGAGGACGTGCAAGAGGACTTCCTCAAGTTCTTCGGCGTGGACTTGCAGGCGACGGGAGATGTATTTCTCGTTGCAGAAGCAGATGAGGTGCGAGACGTCCAGTCCAAAATGGCTGCACGAAGAGGCTTTGCTGCTACGGTCAACCAGAGGCAGCTGAACATGCACGAGATCTATGCGCCTGGACACCTGCTTCGCTACCAAGACTACGAGAAGCACCGTGCGGAGAGCGTGGAATCGGGTCAGGTCTCGGGAGAGAGCTGGTTCGCCGATTTGGACCAGAACATGGGAAAGGGGGCTAGCACCCCCGGTCCGGTGCTGCCTTCTTGCTTGACACACGGGACACTTCATGCCTGGAGTGTTGGGAGGTTGGTTCTGAATGCAGAGAGATTTTTGGCCCACGGTTTCAACATGTACCCACAGAAGACTGGCTGGCCGCTGGCATGCGGTATCCAGAGTGAGCTGAGATCCTTGACCAGCAGCCAACAGCAGCTCTTGCTGGGGAATGGCTGGCACTTGCCGACGCTGGCTTGCTGGGTCTTCTACGTCCTGTCCCACACCGTGAAGATTGATCGCATCTCAAGCATTGAGCCAGAGAAGACGCTGCTGCAGCGAGGTGGTTCACGCCTGAGCGGCCAGAGCCGTGCGATGTCTAGCCAGTCTCTCGGCAGTCTGTGTGATCCAGACTTCCCGGAGCTGTTTCGGGACTCCCAGAATTCCGAAGATGTTGAGGATTGAGTCGTGGCAGGGATTGAAGNNGCATCCGACTCCAAATGTTTTGACGGCCAGAGCCTGTAATACTGTAATACCACTGCTGCTTCGCACACGTTTTGACTCATGCCTTCCATGTCTCTTGTCCTAGGCCGGTGTGTATGTGTGTGGTTTGAAACCACACAGCCGCAGACTGATGAATTTTGGTTAGCCGGCTGTATGTGCTCAGGACAACATATCTTGACTTCAACCTTGGCCTGCTGCGGTAACCCTACTAGTCCAGGAAATATTATATTATGTGTATATATATATATATACATAATGTATTATTTTAAACCTCGTCCAGAAGCTCTGATTCCTGTGTTTATGTTGGGGCACATTCAGCTGTAGTGTCACACAGTCGTGCTGTGAAACGAGGGAGGCAAAACATCGGCTGGGGCGTTGTCGATATTATTCCGTGAGGATTTGTTGCAGCTGACAAAGTGCCTAGCATGACGACTGAAGCCGTGCAGTTGAGTCCTGACTGTCATTCTCCGAAGTCGTCTTCTGTCTGTGAAGCATAGCGACATAAGTGGCACAGGTGGCTTGCTGGCTTCGCTGCCTTGAGCTTCAACTGCTAGCATGATCATAAGACCACGGATTGCACTGGCCATTGTTGGTGCTTTTGCCAGGAACATGTTTCTGAAAGAGCAAAAGTGTCTGATTGATGTCCTCGGCCCAGGCCGCGTTCTCTCAATCGTACAGCCACAGGTCCATGCATGTTTGCAGCATTCAATTTAGGCAATAAAAGTAGCAGCTGTGGCATGAGAGGCTTGTGTCAACGTAGACTGACTGAGTGCTTGCTATGAGTCTGTATCTGTAGCTCTATCGACAAGTATCTCTCGTTGCTTACATAGGGCGATTCGGTCAAACACAGCTCCCAAGTGTGTGGTGCTCGGAAGTGGTAGCTTGCTTTGCAGCCTTTGCTTAGTGTCTGGCAGAAGGTGCCAGGCATCTTTCTGTTGCAGCCACCATGGACTTCGACTTTGATGATGCTACTGCTTGCCCGGACATTGTTCAGCAGATGGGCACGGGCAACAATCCGGCCGAGGCTGGCTCCAAGCGCAAGAGCAACCCGAAGAAGGCGAAGGGTCCCCAGCTCAAAATATGTTTTGCTCGCGGCTGTGAATGTGAATGCCAGAAATCGAAGAGATGGTGTGGGGAGCATAACAAAGCCTATGACAATCTCTACTATCAGGCCAAAAAAGCCGGGGAAACAGAGACGCTCGAAAAGACTATGAAGGATGCGGACTTAGCCAAGAAAGCCTTCGACTACTTCTTTGAGCAGAACCCGGGCGATGGCAAGTGGAGAAGGAAATGCTTGGTGAACTGGTCCCAATGGAAGAGACAGTTCATTCACAGCCAGGTGAAGCGAGTTCGTGACGGCTGCAAACCCTTCGAATTCGGCCAGTGGTTGATTCGTTGCCAGACGGTCATGGGCTGGAGCAAGGAGTCAGCCCGAGCGGAATGGGAAAAGCATTCCAAAGACTCCTCGCTGAAAAAGGATACCAAAGGTCTGGATGGATGCGACCGCATCTGGATCCCGGTCATCGAGGAGACGCATAAGGACAAAGACCGGATTCGCAGCAGCATTTATCAGGAGGGCGGTGTGCAGGAGAAGAACCTTGGTGAAGAAGATCGTGAGATCCTGCTCAAGCATGTCAAGCGGAACACTCATGCCGAAGATCATGATGAGTTCTTTGTTGGTGGTCAGGACAGCAGCGATGAGGATACTAACTTCGTGACCCCGAAGAAAAGGCCAGCGGAGGAGACCGACAACAAGGAGACGCCTGCAGAAAAGAAAGCCCGGATTAAATTGGAGAAGCTCACCAACAACGGCCCCAATTTCACAGCCTACAAGAACACTTGCGGCGAGAAGATCAAGGAGAAATTGCAGGCCATCAAGACCGCATCAACAAACGTCCGGACAAGGTTGAACGAGGGCTTGACTAAGGTGCAGGAGGCCAAGACCGCACACCCCGATGACGCCGTCTTGGAGTCGTTTGGAAAATGCTTGAAAGCTTCTTTCAATGCCGTGAAAGATTGGGACCAGGATCAGCCCTTGCCCGACGACGAGGAGGCCTGCAATGTGCTGTTGGCGACAATG